ACGTGCTGCCCTTCCACTGTCAAGCCAGCAAGAGTGCATTGAATCATCTCTCATCTTCTTTTTCGGGACATTCCGCTTTTTAAGTGTTTCTGTGATTATGTTCGGCCCACTGGGCTAATTTTCCTATCTAAGGATCCACTGATGAGTAAATTTAATTACATCTTCAGAATCCCTTTTTCTGTGTAAAGTAACAAAGTCACGGGGGCACCTTCGATTTCTGCCTACACACTTAGTTTATGAAGACATTTCACCCTTATATTTATTCAGTATTTATGAAACTGAATAGATGAAGGCATTTGAAACATTAAAAGTGAAATCACTATAAAAATTATATATACAGACTAAATTCCTTTTACTGTGAATGTGACCCAAAGTTTTGTAGTGCTGAAAAATTACTTTTTAAATAAGTCTAAATGAATCAGGAAAGGTCATTTTGAAAGACATGCTTTATTAAAGGATTATTCTTAAATGCTTACAATGCTTAGTAAATTAGCTAGAATCATATCCATCAGATGACAGCAAGTAGCATGTCTCCTCCATGTATCATGGTCTTGTCCAGACACTAATGAATGCTACATGCTCGTAGAGGTTAGAGTTAAAAAGATCAGATCATGTTCCCCCAATGCCATCCTCTTCACAGATGAGGCAGGCTATGACTCAGAGAAGCTGAGTGGTGGTAGAAGCTGGCCTAGAACACACATTTTCTTATTCTCTATCTAGTAATAAGATAGTGCAGTGGCCTTGTAGTATAAGCACTGGACTGAGAACTACAATGTTGGCGGTTCAAGCCCACCAACTGCTCAGCAAGAGAAAGATGAGCCTTTCTGCTCCTGTAAAGATTTCTAGCCTTGGAAACCCTATTCAAGGTCACTATGAATTGGTGTGGCACTGTGGGCTAATACGTCAGACTGCAGTCATTTGAACTGCAAGGTTGTTAGTTCAAGCTCACCAGCTGCTCCCTGGAAACTCTATACAGGGCCGCTATGAGTTGGAATCAACTTGACAGCACTTATCAACAACAACAATGAGTTGGAAATGACTGGCGGGCACTTAACAACAATAATCTGGTAATAATAATAGTACCACTAACTGAAGTTGTTTGTTTTTTAATGTAGTAGGCACTAGTTCATGCACACTTTAATTACATTATTTTTGCTAATCTTTACAAAAATCCTATAAGGTAGGCATCATTATTATTTCACAGTTTGAGAAAATGACTCACAGGATAAATAACCTATGTGATCAAGGTCGCCCAGTTTGTAAATGACAGAGGGGAAATCCAGAGAGTGGTAATCTGACAATGGAGCATAAAGTAGTCATGGAGTTAGAACGGCACTGTAAGAGAAGATTGATCCACAAGATCAGCAGTTCAAACTAACCAGCCACTCCTTGGAAACCCTGTACAGGGTTGCTATGAGTCGAAAATGATGGAACGGTACTTAACAACAACAATATTCTGAACTAAGCTGCATTACCACTGCACCATGATAGGTTGGCTGTTGAAAACCACCCCGCCCCTTTGGGAGAAATCTATTTCCTTAATGGTTACAGCAAAAAAAAACCTGTGGGGCAGTTCTACTCAGTCACATATGATCATTATGGGTTGGAATCAACTTTCCAACACTCAACAACAACAACAACAACACCAAGCTGAATGAGCTACCAACATGGTTATATTCTGACAATAAGGTAATAGCAGTGAATGTGGAATCAGGAGACTGTATACAAAACTGTGTTTCTATCACTGATTAGACAACTTCATCCTTCAATACCTTATCTAAAATGGGAATTGTTAGAGTTGCTATGAAGAGGATGCATGTGAAAAGGACTATAGTTACTCTGACAAATAGTGGGTTCTCATTACTCTATATTAGCCAAATTTTACTATGGCATTGCAAAGACCATAGCCAGCGACTTTCAGGAACCTTCTTACTTTTGCAAGTCATACATATATGTTTTCTTTACATGTCTTACTTCTACATTTTCAAATTTCACTAATGTGTATGTCTCACTTGATGGTGATTTTTTTGTTCTCAAGGGCATGTTCATAGGAGGTAGAACATTGAAACCATACGGGAGAGGCTGGGATTCAGCCACATCCCCTCACATCAGCCTAACATTTTCCATGAATCCATTTCATACCCAGAAAAAAAATTATTCCTTTTTGATGGGACCACTGATAAATTAGATATATGATATATGATTACCATATAATAAATATTAGATATATGATCACCAAGGCCTACACTGCCTCCTCATCTTTTTTTGTTGTTGTTTTTGCCATTTTGCCCTATTTTATGTTTGAGTGATTTTCTTTTTCTACTACACTATTTGAAAGTAAACTGTAGACATTATGTATCACACTTCAGTCAGAATGCTTGCATCTCCTAGTGATAAGAAAATTCCCCTTTACAATAGGTATTATTCTATATGTTGTTGTTAAGTGCTATCAGGTTGGTTCCAAGTCATAGCGACACTGTATCAGGTGGGTTTCAATCGCAAACCTTGTAGTTAGCACTCCAGTGCTTATCCTACAGCACCACACCAGGACTCCATATATTATATATAAAATAATAATATTATTTACATAAGAAGATTAACAATGATTTCCTCATCGCATCTAGATTCAGATTTTCCCCATTGGCCCTAAAATTGTTTGTATTGTGTTTTGTTGTTAGGTTTTTTTTCCAAGCTGGAAATCAGTCGGTGCACACTCACAGCATGTGATGGTCACTTTGCTTTGTTGCATTTCATCCTGAACAATCTCCCTTGTTTAGTTTACTTGTTTCTTTTCATGATGTTGACTTTCTGAAGAAACTAGGCCAGTTGTTTGAACACTGTCCCATGGACTGGGCTGATCTGATTTGTTTCCTCATTGTATCATTTATCTTGTTACTCTATCCCTTGCCTCTAAGCTGGCCATTGGTTCCAAAGACCCAATTGGATTTCAGTTTTGTATTTTTGTCTGGAGTAACTTGACAGGTGATAATATGTATCTTATACTAGTAGGGTCATGTAGTAGCCTAACTACAAAAACTACAAAGTTTGATCTCTTGGTTAGGATGGGGGTAGCTGGGTTTCCCTGTGTTCAAGTACAGTTTTCCTCTTTTAAACGATTATAGCTAATTTGTGAAATGATTATTTGGCTCGTCTCCCTTTTCCACCCTTCCATCTAATGATGTTAACATCCATTGATGAGTCTTTCTGAAACTGTTTATTATATTTGACATCACAAATTGATAATTTTTGAACTTTGTTATTTCTTTTCCATAATTCAACTGATGTTTCTCTATAAAGAAGAGCTCTCCTCATCAAAGGGGGATCCTTTACAACCTCCTGAAGTCCATATCAGTACAACATGTTTATTATCGATTATCTAAGCTACTAGCCTTACATTATGGGACTGAGGTGTTGATCAGTCATAATTTCTTTTCCTATATAGTTTTTAAAGCATATTGATATATACATTAAAGTTTGCAGTGAATAATAGATAAAACTTAAAGCAGTGCTTCAAAATGGTAACAAGTAACATAAGAGGCTTGGTGAAAATGGGTTTTCATAAATCACTGGCAATACCAATGTAGATAAATAAGTTTTTATTAATCTAAAAAAACATTGTGACAAGACACTAAACAAGCTTACCATATGGATGTATCCCAAAGAGGTAATTATATGAAGTGTCAGTGTGGATAAGTATTTCAGCCTAACAAGAAGTAAATAAATGCAAATAATTTGGACTCTAGCCTCTTGCTCCAGTTGTCTCTGAAACTCTATCCTACCATTCGAGGCCCTTAATAATCTCAGCTCAGTTTCTTATATAACCTTTTATCCCAAGAGTCCTGAATGTGGTTGGGCTGTTGCACCATCCCTTCATATTCACATGGTCGTCCCAACTTCTGCACCTTTGTTTGTGCTGTTTCCCTCACCCAAAAGTGCACTCCTTGCTTCTCATTGAGTTCCAGTGTACCCATTTTTCAAGGCCAGCTTAAATCCTGCTCCCTCTATGAAGCTCTTTCCTCCCTGGCCTCTCCAGAGAACACTCTAACCTCTGTCTGTGGTACCTGATTTAGTTTCCTGTTTGCTCTTCTAAAGAGTCCTTGGGTGACACTAACAGTTAAGCCTTACTAATAACCAAAAGGTTTAGAGGTTTGTGCCTGCTTAGAGGCACTTCAGGAGACCCATCTGAGGCTCGGCTTCTGAAAGGTCACAGCTTTAAAACCGTGCGGAGCAGGTCTACTCTGCACGCATGCATGCGCTCGCTGTGAATCAAAGTTGACTTGTCTGAGACTAGCAACAGCAGCAACATTGGTCTACTAAATAAGCCTCGTTTCCAGACTATCGAAGATGCCTGTAGACAGTGACTACCCATGACCCTAAATTGCAAAACTCTTTTCGCATAACGTTCCTGAGTTTTCTCATTTCCCTTTGAGAATCTTCTAAAATTTTCTATAAGTTACCCCAGATATGAAGAAGCTGTTATCAAACAGGGTTCTCTCATTGTGTGACTTTCTTTGCCTTTTAATACCTATCACCTTAAAATCTAGATTTTCTTGTGAAAGTTAAAAATAGAATTTGAGAATTACTCACCACCTATTCTTTGTAAATGAAGGCCTAGTTTTTTACTATGACAAAAAGAAAAGGGGAGAGATAAATGTAAGGAAATCTGGCATTTAAATATTACAATGAAAACAAAGCTTACTTTACTTTACTTAGGTTGAACCTTTTATGTTCATTAGGTTACCAATTTGAACACTTGTCTTAAGTGGAAATGAAACAATGGAGATTTGTGCTTCTTACAGATTGTTTAGGAAAATGCCATCCCACTCAACAAGACATTGTCTTCAATATCTTCTCTCTCTGTCTTCTTAATAAGAGCACTTGGTATTTATTTATGCAGCTCTTTTCATCTGAGGATCTCAAAGCACTGGCGGACTTTTTGTGAGCTTGTTAACCACTTTGCATGACAAAACTATTACCCCTTTTGTTTTCTGACTCTGCAGAGGCAGGAGGCAAAAAGCTCCGCAGTACTGTCCAGAGAAGTACGGAGACTGGCCTGGCGGTGGAGATGAGGAACTGGATGACTAGACAGGCGAGCCGCGAGTCCACCGATGGCAGCATGAACAGCTATAGCTCGGAGGGAAAGTAAGTCAGGCCGGCTGGAATGGATGCCTCTTCCTGGCCTGGCTGGAGACTAACTTTTCTGTGCCCCAAAGCTGGTGCCCAGGCTGGGCAGCGCCATTTTCATTGTCACAGGCTGACTTTTCTGTGAAGAGCATTTCGCTCACCCCTGAATAATGTGACAGATCTTACTTTTTATATCAAGGGAAATAGATTTGGGGAGAAAGTGTTTGTAAGATGCTAACATGTGATTCTCACAGTATCTGCAGATAACACAGTGGGAACTTGCTTGACATCATTTATAGAAACACAAAAAGAATAAGTACTCAGGCCCCACCACCCAAACATACAATGCTAATTTTTCATCTTAGTTTGTAGAGTTACTACTTATTTTCATGCAATACTAAACAGTTCAGATAAGTAATAGTATTTTTTCTTGTTAAACCAAACTCACTGCCATCAAATTGATCCCCACTCATAGGGACCCTGTATAGGGTTTCCAAGGCTGTAAATCTTTATGAGAGCAGAAAGCCTCATTGTTCTCCCTCAGAGCACCTGGTGGGTTTGAACTGCTGACCTTGTGTTTGGCAGTCCAATACTTATCTTACAGTGTCACCAGTGCCTCTTTAGATAAATAGTAGTCCCCCAAGAAATGGCACAAAGAAAGTTGCTGAACTTTTTTTTTTTAACTCATTTACCTTTGCATCAGCTGTCACTAAGTTATTTTTTTAAAGCATTTGTCAAAATTATATAGCCCTGTGGCCAGAAAATTAGAAGTAAACAGTTGTGATCCACAAATGAATGACTCCTAGGACATTAATAGAGGAAAGTGGAGCTTACTCACCTCACCCTGCTGTCACCATGAAACCACTGGGTAACAGGTGTGGCCACTTCACAGATGTGAGGCCTTAAAGAGATGCTGGCATAGCTTGATAATATGCCCTAAGAATATTTTATCTCAGCAAAATCATATAAGTACAAATACGATTCTCATACATTTGTGGCTAGGGTTCTGCCACTCATCTTGTATTTTGTCATACTGTGGTTGCTTGTGTGTTGCTAGAAGTTATGCCACTAGTATTTTAAATACCAGCAGGGCCACCCATGGTGAAGACATTTCATCAAAGCTTCCAGAATAAGAAGTAGAGGCAGACCACTTCGGAATGGTTGTTGTTGTTGTTAAGTGTTGTCGAGTCGTTTCTGACCCATAATGACCCTGTATAGCGTTTCTGAGGAGCGGCTGATGAGCTTGAACCACCGACCTTGTGATTCAAACCAACTTTGCAGTCCAGCACATTAACCCTCAGTGCGACACCAAGAATGACTAGCCACTGAAAATCTTGTCAGATATAGAGAGACAGAAGATGAGCCCCTCAGGTTGAAAGGAACTCAAAATACAACTGAGGAAGAGTTGCCTCTTCATAGTAGACTTGGCCATAATGATGCAAATGGAATAAAGCTTTTGGGACCTTCATTTGCTGATGGGACACAACCCAATGAGGGCAAACAGGTGCAAGCAAGCATCCATTAATAATTGAAACATGGAATGTGTGAAGTATGACTGTAGGAAAATTTGAAGTTGTCAAAAATGAAATGGAACACAGAAAGACCAATAACCTAGACTTTAGTAACTTGAAATGGACTTGTATTGACCATTTTGAATCTGACAGTATATAGTTTACTATACCTAGAATGACAAATTGAAGAGGAATGGCAGTATATTCATTGTCATAATCTTTCTTGAAGTACAATGCTCTCTATGATAGGAAAAACAATATTATTATTATTCAAATTTATGTACCAACCACTAAACTAGTGATGATAAAATTGAAGAATTCTGCCAACTTCTTCACTCTGAAATTGATCAAATATGATCAAATATGCCATCAAGATACAATGGTAATTACTGGCAATTAAAATGCAAAGTTTGGAAGCAAAAAGTAATTGGAAAATATGGCCTTGGTGATAAATGATGCTGGAGATCACATGTTAGATTTTGCAAGACCAGTGACGTCTTCATTACAAATACCTTTTTAAAACAACATAAAAGACGATTATACACATGGACCTTAACCATATGGAACACACAGAAATCAAATTGACTGTATCTATGGAAAGAGACAGTGGAAAAACTCCATATCATCAGACAAAACTAGACTGTGGAACAGACTATCAATTGCTCATAAGCACATTCAGGCTGACGCTGAAGAAATTGAAAACAAGTTCACAAGAGCCAAAATATGATCTTGAACATATCCCACCTGAATTTAGAGACCATCTCAAGGACAGATTTGATGCATTAGATGCTAATGTCCGAAGCTCAGAAGATGACATAAAGAACATCATACAAAAAGAAAGCAAAAGATCATCAAAAAGTCAGGAAAGAAAGAAAAAAGAATAATGGATTCAGAAGTGACTCTGAAACTTGCTCTCCAGTGTAGAGATGCTAAAGCAAATGGAAGAAATGAGGAGGTCAGAGGTGAACAGAAAATTTCAAAAGACAGCTTGAAAAGACAAAGTCAGGTGTTACAATGAAATGTGCAAAGCGGAGTCGGAAAACCAAAAGGGAAGAACATGCTCAGTATTTATTTCACTGAAAGAACTGAAGAAAAATTCAGGCCTTGACTTGAAATATTGAGGGATTGTGTGGAGTCCTGGTATGGTGCTGTGGGATCAGCACTAGACTGCTAATCACAAAGTTGACAGTTCAAATCCACCAGCTGCTCCTTGGAAACCCTATGCAGGGTGGCTATGAGTTGAAACCAATTTGAAGACACTTCGTAACAAAATGGGCAAAATATTGAATGGTGCACAAAGCATCAAAAGAAGAAGGAATGTATACACAGTCGCTGTAACGAAAGGAAATGGTTGGTGTTCAACCATTTCAAGAGGTAGCATATGATCCAAAACCAATGGCAATGAAGGAAGAATCCAAGCTGCACTGAAGCCATTGGCTTTTTAAACAAGGCTCCAGGAACTGAGGGAATACAAATTGAAATCTTTTAACAAACTGATGCAGCACTACAAGTGCTCACTCATCTATGCCAAGAAATTTGGAAGACAGCTCCCTGACCAGCCAATTGGAAGAGATCCATATTCATGCCCATTCCAAAGAGGTAATCCAACAGAATGCACAAATCATCGAACATATCACTAAAATCACCTGCAAGTAAAATTCTTATGAAGCTACTTCAAAAATGACTGCAGCAGCACATTGATAGAGAACTTCCAGAAATTCAAGCTGGATTCAGAAGAGGACGTGGAACTAGGGATATCATTGCTGAAGTCCGATGGATCTTGGCTGAAAGCAGAGAATACCTAAAAGATATTTACTTGTGCTTTATTTACTATTCAAAGACCTTTTACTGTGTGGATCATGACAAACTACGGATAACATCGTGAAGAATGAGTATTACAGAATACTTAATTGTGCTCATGAGGGACCTGTACATAAAGCAAGAGGCAGTTGTTTGAACAGAACAAGGAGATATTGAATGGTTTAAAATAAGGAAAGGTGTGTGCCAGGGTTGTATTCTTTCACCATACTTATTCAATCTGTATGCTGAAAAATTAATCTGAGAAACTGATTTATATGAGGAACAGTGAGACATCAGATTTACAGGAAGACTGATTAACAACCTGCAATATGCAGATGATACAATCTTGCTTGCAGGTATCAAAGAGGACTTAAAATCTTCACTGCTGAAGATCAAAGACCACATCCTTCATTATAGATTGCACCTCAATATAAAGAAAACAAAATTCCTCATAAATGGACCAATAAATAACAACATGATAAATGGAGAAAAGATTGAAGTTGTCAAAGACTTCATTTTGCTTTGATCCACAATCATCACTCATGAAAGCAGCAGTCAAGAAATCAAATGATGTATTGCATTAGGCAAATCTATTTACAAGACTTCTTTAAAGTGTACAAGAGCAAAGATGTCAGTTTGAGGACTAAGTTGCACCTGACCCAAGCCATGGAATTTTTAATAGTCTTATATGCATGCGAAAGTTGGACAGTGAATGGGGAAGGCGGTAGAAGCATTGATGCATTTGAGCTATGGTGTTGGAGAAGAATATTGAAGGTACCATGAACTGCAAGAAGAACAAACAAATCTGTGTTGGAAAAAATACAACCAGAAAGGTCTTTAGAAGCCAGGATGGTGAGACTTGGTCTCCCATTGTCAGGCATCTTCTCAGGAGGAACCAGTCCCTGGAGAATGACATAAAGCTTGTTAAACTTGAGGGTCAGCAAAAAAAGAGGAAGCCCCACAATAAGATGGGTTGGCACAGAGGCAACTGTGAGCTCAAGCTTAACAACAATTGTGAGGATGGTGTAAGATCAGGAAGTGTTTCATTCTGTTGTCACTATGAATTGGAACTGATTTGTTGGCACCTAATAGCAACCACCTAAGAGTCATTTTGTGACACTTACAGAAACAGATTAACATATGTAGATTAACTGAGTATTAGGGGATAGGGTGAGTAATTAATTTGATGTTAACCAACCAAACCAAACCCACTGCCATCAAGTAATATCTAACCTAGAGACCCTATATAGGGTCTCTGAGACTATAAATCTTTATGAGAGCAGACAGATTCATGTTTTTCCCAAGGAACTGCTGGTGGATTTGAACCATGGGCCTTGTGGTTAGCAGCACAGTACTTATCCTACAGTGCCACCAGGAAATCTTAAAAAAGATGGAGAATCAATGAAAAATAATTGTTAGATGCTGCTAGAGAAACACAAACTCTTTAAACTAAAGCTTTTGTACTCCAGATGTTTATAGTGTTAATAGAGAAATGAGTTGAATACTCATGAACTCATTCAAGAAATCTTCACTATACCTTCTGTGTTCTTGACACCATATTAAGAGTTAGAGATTCTGAGTCATATAAGAGAAGCAATATCAGTTGGTGGTTAAGACTGTGGATTTTGGAATCAAATGGTCAGAGGTTCTTATCTGGTTTGGGTGGTGGTTATATTTGTTTTGTATTTTGGCCAGTTTTATTTTAACTGATGAATTGATATAGCATCACAATTGTTTATTGAGTACTTAGTTAGGCAACAGTGAATAACAGCGAACAAAATAGACAAAAAGCCCCATTCTCATGGAACTTACATTCTCATGGGGAAGAGAGACAATAAACAAGACAAATTATAAAAGTTTCTAAATATAAGGGAAATTACTAAAATATTAACTAGTACAAGAGAAAAATAATATAAGACAAGTGATGTTAGATGGTGAAGTTATGATCTTGTGTAAGGTTGTTGTTAAGTGTTGTTGAGTCAGCTCTCTGCTCCTATAGAGATGTACAGTCTCAAAAACCATAAGGAGCAGTTCTACTCTATCCTCTAGGGTCTCTGTGACTGGGAATCAACTCAGTAGGTGTGGATTTGGATTTTTTGGGAGATAGGGAAAGGAGCCCTTGCATGGTGCAAACAGCTAACCCACTTAGCTGTTAACCAGAAGGTTGGAGATTCAAGTCCATTTAGAGGCTCCTTCAAAGATAACCTAGTAATCTACTTCCAAAAACTCAGCCATTGAAAACCCTATGGAGCACCATGAGTGGGAATCAACCAGACTGTCCATTTGAGTAAAGGTCTGAAGTACATGATGTTTAAGGATGTTCCAAGCTGTAGCAGTGATCAAGTCCTGAGGCAGGAGGTTGCCTCTCATCAGAAGTAGTAGGATTACATTGTGGGGTAAGAACAAGAGTGGTGGCAGAATTGTAATTCAGTATTAGAGGAAGTGGCGCACAGCTTTATCTATCATTGTCAGGACTTTGGTATTTATCCTGAGTGGGATGTGAAATCATGGGAGGGTTTTGAACAGAGAGCTGACATGGTCTGCCTTCAATGTTAACATGCCACTCTGAGTATTGTAAGGGACAGGACAAGGGTGACAGCATCAAGAGCAGTCCGAAGATTGTTGAAGTAATTCAGAAGCTAGATAATGGTAGCTTAGACTAGGGAGGTAGCATTGCTGAGGTCAGATCATGGTTGCATTTTGACAGTAGAGCCAATAAGATTTATTGATGCATTTGAAAAGAGTAGTGAGAGAAAGGATCCCTCTTGGGTGGCTAAAATAGTTTGCATTCGACTGCTGACGTAGAAGTTGGTGGCTTGAGCTGAGCCAGCAGTATGACAGAAGAAATGTCTTGGTGATCTGCTTCCATTCAGATTGGAGCCAAGAAAGCCCTATAGAGCAGTTTTACCATGAGTCAGAATCTAGTTGGTGGCAACTAACAACAACAATGAGAGGAAGAAAGGAAAGATAACTCCAAGATTGAACAATTCAAAAATAAAGTTCTTGTTTCTGAAGATGGGGAGTCCTTTAAGGGAAACCGAGTGGAAGTTTTTTTGGAGGATAGTAATGCTAGGGATTAGTTTGGATCAAGTAAGTTTCAGGTGCCTACAAGGTGGGATTATAAAAGTTCATGGAGAAAAGGAATTTAAAAAATAAAGGAATGTTTCCACAAACTTTTTGAAGTCCACTCATATTAGACATCCAAGTAGATATGTAGACTGAGTGGTTGAAGTCCAGGTCTGTGGTTCAAGGGTGCGGCCTGAGCTGGAAATGTTAATGTAGGCATTGAAAACCCTGTGACTGGATGAGATCACCAAGGGAATACAGACAGAAGAGGTAGGAGATGAAAGACTGAGCTCACAGTACCTAGTGACATTAAGTAGCAAAGGAGACTGAGGCAGGGTAGTAAAAGAGAAAACAAGAAGACTAGGGTGTTTTGTTGTTGTTAGGTGTCATCAAGTGGGTTCTGACTCATAGCAACCCTATACACAACAGAACAAAACACTGCCCAGTCCTGCACCATCGTCAAATTGTTGTTATGCTTGAGCCCATTGCCTCTGTGTCAGTCCATCTTCTACGGGGTCTTCATCTTTTTCAATGATCCTCTGCTTTACCAAGCATGGTGTCATTCTCCAGGACCTAACTGGTCCCTCCTGATAACATGTCCAAAGTATGAGAGACGAAGTCTCACCATCCTGGCTTCTGAAGACAGCATTCTGGCTGTACTTCTGCCAGCACATTGGTTTGTTCTTTTGGCAGTCCATGGTACTTTTAATACTCTTCTCCAACACCATTACTCAAAAGCATCAATTCTTCGAAGGGCCTCCTTATTCATTGTCCAACTTTCACATGCATATGAGGCTATGGAAAATACCAAGGCAAGGCTTGGGGCAGGCACACCTAGGGAGGACTGGACGCAAATTGGAGAATGTGTTTTAAGGATCCTGTCAGCTGCTGCTATATGTTAAGTTAGAGGAGAACTGACTGTCGGATTTAACACCGTAAGCATTAGATGACCTTGATTAGAGAAATGTTGGTGGGGTGGTGAGGATGAAAAGGCGATTAAAGTTCAATAGAGAATAAAAGGAAAGAAATTGAAAGATGGTACTCAGAGACAACTGTTTCAAGGAATCTTACTGTGAAGGGAGGGAGACAAGGGCAAGGGAAGGGATTTTTTTAAGGTGGAAAGAAAATGTGTATGCTGATGAGAATGATCCCGAAGAACTTCTTCATCTGTGAAATGGGTTCAATAGTACCCATCTATTGAACCATAGCTCAGAGGATTAGCTATGATAACACCTTATGTGTAGTAAGTGCTCAATATATATTGACTTTTATTGATATAATTCACAATCTCTGCCCACCAAACCAAGGGGAAAAAGACATGTAAATTGATGTCTGTAATATAGTCTAAAAGTGCTTCTGGTAATTTGCAAGCTCAACCAGAGGTTTTGGAGGGAAGGCAACTGCTCCTTTCACAAGAAGGAGACTAGTGGGAAGTTTGAGCTTGTCTAACAGTAAAATCCCATTTGTTATTTTATTTCTAGTCTGATATTCCCTGGTGTCCGCTTGGCCTCTGATAGCCAATTCAGTGATTTTTTGGATGGCCTTGGCCCTGCCCAGTTAGTGGGGCGCCAGACATTGGCTACACCTGCAATGGGTAAGAATTTCTATCACATGATTCTGTTCTTATGGCTTATTAAAAATTATGCTTTCTATGTATTTCACTTTTTTTTAATATCATCAACAAAAATCAAGTATCTTAGAGTTAAATAATAAGAAATCCTCAACTAATTTGTTTCTAATTCATCTGCTTTTTAAAGTACCATATTATTGACATAGAGTTTTAAATATTTTTGATTTTTTTTTTTAAACGTGGGAAATTATGAATGGGTATTAAACCAAGGCCTTTGGCATAAGCGTTTTTCTCACTGTATTTCATTGCTAAGGTGAATTTGTTTTGTCTCTCCAAACTATTAGGTGACATTCAGGTAGGCATGATGGACAAAAAAGGACAGTTGGAGGTGGAAATCATTCGGGCCCGTGGCCTTGTTGTCAAACCAGGTTCCAAGACACTGCCAGGTAAAAGCAGAAGAGATTCTTCTATTATTGTTCACAATCCATACTTTTCATTTACAGACTTCATTTTTTAATTAATCAAGGCTAACAGATGAGTCTGGTAGCATAGTGGTTACGAATTGGGCTGTGAACCGTAAGGTCAGAAGTTCAAAACTACCAGCCGTTCCACGCGAGAAAGATGAGGCTTTCTGCTCCCATAAAGATTCACAGCCTCGGAAACCCTATATAGGGTCGCTATGGGTCAGAACTGACTCCACGGCACTTAACAACAACAACAACAACAAATGAGTCAATTACATGACTGGTTTGGGACAACTGTAGTTGATGTGTTTATCCTGAGTGAGTTTTTAATGACAGTGATCTGGTGGGCTTAATATAAATCGTTAAATAAATACGTATGTAGTAGAAGCTGTTGCAAAATAAAAATCACAACACCTAGAGCAGTCATTTTGTCACAGCATGATCATGGAATTTCTCTTTCCTTCTTATTAACTGGTGTTTTATATAATATATTTATATTATGCTTCAGTTTATCCAGCACTTCAAATTTTGTGGGATTCTCTCAAGTTCTAGAAGTAAAGTAGATCTCCAAAGTATTATAAGTCTACAGATGCTGGACAGTTTCATGCTAATGTTATATTTCCTGTAGTATATAAGGAAAAGGAGGCATTATTATAAATTTTTACTGTGATGCCACATAGTTAGTGCAGAAATAATCACTGTAATCTCAGATGCTTGAAGTCATGGAAAGTGATGTAAAAGAACAATTACTGAACATTCTGAAACTTGATTTCTAACCTCAGCACCGGCACTGGCTCACATATAGTTTTGAATCTCTTAACTTCTGTATCCTGTAGAATTTCAAATGATAAAGTATGTTATCTATTGTGTAACCTCATAGTGGTGATTAAAACAAACTCTATAGAGCTGGTCAATCCATTCTGCTATAAAGAATATCGTAATTTATACATGCATGAAAATGGTCTTTATGAACTGTGACATCAGATACCTTTCAAGCCATCAAATGTATAATCAATCAGTTGCCTCTTCCCAGCTAATCTGAACATATTATATCAAACCCTATCCCTCCTTGTCCCTATCCCCACCACCTCCAACAGACACACCCTTTTGAACGATAAATAAGCAATTTTTGGGGATGTGAGTACATAATTGTTTGAAGCATGAGAAGTTAGATTTCAGAATTGATAAACACTGAGCACAACCTCTCCCTTAAATATCATTCATTAGAAGCTGGAAGCAATTCACCCTATTTAATCCATTGTTCTCATCAATAAAACCCGCTGATGAAATAATACATAGTAATCAAATCCAGACACTCTTGGAGATCCTGTACAGGATTGCTGGGAGTCAGAACTTCCACAACTGCATACAACACCAACAATCAGCTATGGCAACATCACCTCAGACTACATGAATGGCTGATAATGACCCATTGTTCATCTGATGATTTTGACACAATATGCAAGCTCTTTCAGTATACATGGTCACACAGCAAAGCTCCTCACTTACATTTCCTCCCCTGTGTTTTCTTTCCCAAGCACCGTATGTAAAGGTCTATCTACTCGATAACGGAGTCTGCATCGCCAAAAAGAAAACAAAAGTGGCCAGGAAAACGCTGGAGCCCCTTTACCAGCAGCTATTGTCATTCGAAGAGAGTCCCCAGGGAAAAGTTTTACAGGTATTGACTGGACTTTTATTCCTTACCTCCCTCAGAAGGTATTTTCATAAACAACATCTGTCCTTATCACAGCCCTTTGTGTTTCTCAGAGCTGGAAATTTTCGGAACTTCTAAACATTATCCAGTGCTTTAAAACTCTTTACACTATTGTTTCCTTTAAAGCAAATCAAAGACATGTACACCCCCATCACACATTGACTCCAGCCCCCCAAAAGTGTTTATGATCTTTATACCTGTACAGGTTTTCAAATGTTCTTTTGGATGTCAGTAGTTAGATACAATGATTTCAATAATTAAATACAGGTATTTAACATGATAAAGGAGCTCTGATAGCGTAGTGGTTACGAATCGGGCTGCAAACCTTAAGGTCAGCGGTTCGAAACTACCAGCTGCTCCGCGGGAGAAAGATGAGGCTTTCTACTCCCGTAAAGATTTACACCCTCGGAAACCCTATACAGGGTCGCTATGGGTCGGAACCGACTCGATGGCACATAACATAATATTTAACATGATAAGGAGCCCTGATGGCATTGTGAGTTAGGCATTGACCTGCTAACGTAAAGGTAGATGGTTCAAACCCACCAGCTGCTCCATGGGATAAAAATGAGACTATCTGCTCCAATAAAGATTTAACACCTCAGAAATGGTATATAGGGTCACCATGAGTTGGAATCTGCTTGATGACATGGCTTTGGTTATTTAACATGATGGGAGTCCCTGGGTGGCGCAAATGGTTAAGTGCTTGACTACTAACCTAAAGGATGGCAGTTCAAACCTACCCAGAGGGACCTCAGAACAAAGATCTGGCAAACAGCTTCTGAAAGGTCACAAGCTTGAAAACCTTAGCAGGTGTAATTCTACTCTGCACATATGAGCTCATCAAAAAATTATTTGACATGATATTTGATGTCAGATGGTTAACAGAATTGAATCTATTTGCAGGGTTTGGCTTTGTTTATTTATATACCCATGATTCTACTGATACTACTGTTCTTTTTATTTTGCCAACAGATCATTGTCTGGGGCGATTACGGCCGCATGGATCACAAGTCCTTTATGGGAGTGGCCCAGATCCTTTTAGATGAACTGGAGCTATCCAATATGGTGATTGGATGGTTCAAACTTTTCCCTCCTTCTTCCTTAGTAGATCCAACCTTGGCTCCTCTGACAAGAAGAGCTTCCCAATCATCTCTGGAAAGTTCAACTGGACCTTCTTATTCTCGTTCTTAGCAGCTGTAAAACTGTTGTCATAGCAACCAGCGGTCCAAAAACAACAACAACAAACCACAGGTCGCAAACCCTGGTAACACTGCATGCTTAATGTTGTGTCTTCTGAGCCTGTTTCTAGGGATACAAAGTGATCCTGTGTTCTCAGAGGAAGTTGCACACATTGTGCCCTAATGAAGGCCCTCAGGTGAAAGCAGAGCTTTGAAGAACTAACAGGTTTGACGGTCCATGACTCGACTTTTGGTCCAATCTGAAGCCATGGATTAATCTAAGAATCAGTCAGTTTCATGCAACAATTGCCCTTTTCAATGGCATCTTTCTATTTTTATCGTTCCTTTTTCTTCATTTCTCTAACCCCAAAGCCCTGGTACGCCACAGAAATGGAGCTCTATAGCCATTAAGCCATGATACAAGTCAAGGAATGAAGTTCCAGGAAGCATCAGGTGACAAGCAGGAGACCAAAGAAGTGGTCAGAACAAAAGGTGAGACCTCCTCTGGACAGTGATGAGGAGCAGTCCAGGGCACGTCCCCACAACTCCGTAGCTCCAGGAGACACAATGCCAAGATGTGTAGGGCTCTGAAAACCAAGATTCTGTGGCTACACTGTACTGAATGAAACTAAAGAGACTTTTTTTGCATGGACACAGATTAGCTGAATACTTAAATTATTTTCTTGGGGCTGCAACTTGCAAAAAAATAAATAAATAAATAAAAATCAGCCATTTCCAACAATTTATATTATTTTTAAACAATAAATTTCACTAGTGCATGGTTTTAAAAAGGGGAGAGAATGCAACAAGGAGATACAAAGGCGCACCACGTTTATTCTTTAAACTAATCACAGTCTGTGTTTTGGCAGACAATACAAATGGAAATCCTTTCTAGAAGATATTTAAAATTCTCTTTACGTGACAAATGCATACACTATATCCCATGTATTTTCATGTTAAATATAAAAGTCTTACAAAGTTGGATATTCTGCACAAATTGTTCACACCTCTCTTCCCCATCTCTATCCCACTTTTCTTCATCTTCCTCATTTAGTCTTTTCCTTTACTTCTTCCCAACAGAGTGAACATTATGCTAAAAATTATAAAGTTTTGATCAGATATTCTCTTGTACCCCATGTTTGATTCAGCGCTGTCAATGCTTCTGAATGTCTGAATGTCTCAAGGGGAAAAAACAAACAAACAAAACTACTTAAAAGCTTTTTTTATTTCAAGTATGTTGAAAAGAATTTTGCAACGTGACTTGGGAGTACATTAAAGCAGGTTGGCGTGTATTTGATAAAGAAGACATTTGAACTTTTGCAATTTATTTATAGTGCGTGGTCATTTTTATTTCACCTTCAAAATTCAGTTCTTCCTGAATATTCTAAAATCATGTGGTCATTGTCATGTCTTATAAATTTGTTTTCAGCACCAGCATTATTCATACAGGGGTTAAAGTATTATTTCTAGACGGTCTTAGGTTTGGGTCTCTTTTTAAATTAATGAATGCAATTTCTTTAGCCAAGTTCCATTTACTATGTGTAGAGAAACACTGAGAAAAATTGAAATCCTGAACCACTGGGCTGGTTTATTAATTCATTTTCTGTAGTACAATTCAATTTTTCACAAATAATATTTCTAAAGAAATATAGTCAAAATAAATTTACAACAGTTTTAAATCTCCAGTTTTTAGGTGACGTAAAAGGAAGTCCATATGCATATTGTTGTTAAGTGCCGTTGAGTCAGTTCTGACTCATAGCAACCCTGTATAGGGTTTCTGAGGAGCAGCTGGTGGGTTTGAACTACTGGCCTTGTGGTTCAGCCGATCTTGCAGTCCAGCTCATTAGCCCACAGCACCACACCAGGACTCCATATTTGTTGTTGTTGTTGTTAAGTGCCGTCGAGTCGGGTCCGACCCATAGCGACCCTGTACAGGGTTTCCGAGGGTGTAAATCCTTACGGGAGTAGAAAGCCTCATCTTTCTCCCGCGGAGCGGCTGGTAGTTTCGAACCATATTAGCTGTTCTTTAATGCCGTCACCAACTGGTTCCAAGCAGCTCCCCTAATGTCAGAAACCCCTGCTTTGGTCTTACAGACTTGTTACCATTGGGTGGCACTGCAAGGTCAAATTTCTCTTACATTCCCCTTCTTAGAAGAAAAGTCACTGGTTAATGAATTAAGCCACCCCTATTTTCTGGATCTTCATGTACACTTTGATAACACTTTCTGATCAATTGGTTTTAATTGATTGCAATAACTTTTGAAACCCACACACCTCCTGCTTTTCTTTAAATTATGACCATGCAGAAAATCCTTGTTTTTTTTTTTTTTCCTTTTTATTTATGTATGTATTTGTTTTGGGGAAAAAAAAATCAGCGCTAACCATGAAAAACTGTCATGTTTGATATGGCGCAAAAGTTAGAATGCATATCACTAAAAATGCCTTTTTCTCTATGTGGTGCAATATGAAATACACCAAGACTACGTCTTGACATTCTGAACTCTCGGATGGACCCAGGTGAAGATGTTAAAAGGAGTCAAACTTTACTGAAATACTTTAGACATCTGTGTACCAGCAACAATTGGTTTAATAGACCTATTCCTTAGAATAAACGTTTACCATTCCCCGATACTAAAATGCAGTCACATGACCTTTTGTGCATATTCCTACATAAATTATTTCTAATTTTAATAAGAAGGACATGACTGTATGGGATATTTGTACATACTTGTCATTATACAGTATTTATTTAAAAGTTGGTGTTTTTTGTTTTTGTTTTTTAATTTTCACATGTCTGCCCCTTAATTGTGGTTTAGTCATGTAAATAGCACTATTCCAATGACCATTGCTGCCCTGTACATAATATGTTTTCAAAGTAAAGGGAATTCCAGTTGAGGAAAACAAACAAACAAACAAACAGAGGGCAGATTAGTCCTGTAATGAACACCAACTAATGTAAATCAAATTCATTCTGGTGATGGTATTCTGGTGATGGTAACACTTTCAATAAAACAGTTTCTTTACAGACGTTGTCTGCAGTGCTTTTCCTGACATCTCTTCTCCCCCGCACATCCCCAAGCCTGCTGTAGCTCAGTCCCTGAGGTCACGCTTAAGTTTAAAGACAAGGAAATTATCTTTTTCTTTCTCTCAATGACAGAAATGGACAGCTGCCCTCAGCAAATAGTCCTCGGCCCAGCATTGCTGTAAGGTACCAAAGGCTTTCCTCTTATACCATGACACGTTGCTGCTGTTAATAAAAGGTTCCTATTCGGGATCAGACAGACAGACGAGTGGTGGCCGTTTGGTTTTATGTCTATACTGTCTCTTTAAATTTCGATGTCAATCTTGATACAATCAAGATATATATAAGATATAATCAAGATGTTCTCTCCTAATCCTATCAATTCTGGTACAATCAAGATAAGCTTTCCCAAGATGGCGGCTCCTGGAACAGCTGAGTGTCTTGATCCAGAAAATAATGAATTTCTGGATTTTCCTGCAAATTCCCCAGCTATAAACACTCCAAAACTCCAAACATACCTTTATATTTGTTACAGAGTTCCAACACCAACTCATGAGTCCTCTTGATCCGGTATTCCGTGTTGTTGTTGACCGAGCTCCTCACTACACATCTACCCAATCCGCCATCTAATGAGGCAGTGTAGTGGTTAAAAATCTGGCTGTGAACTCCAGATTCAGTCAGCAGCTCAAATCCACCAGGCCTTCCGCATAAGAGAGATGAGGCTTTGGAGGGTCAGAGAAAAAGAGGAAGATCTTTAACGAGATGGATTGGCCAGGTGGCATCATTGATGGCGTCAAGTGTGGCAGCGGTAGTGAGGTTGGCCCAGGATCGGACATTGTTTCGTTCTGCTGTGCATGGGGTCGCTATTAGTCGGTTCCGATTCGATGGCACCTGACAACAAAAACAACATTCGGGATCAAGGTGATTTCTGATCAAATGACTCAGCAATTCAGTTTTCATGAGTGAAAAGTTAAGACTGATTTTTGATGTAGTCTTGAACTTCACCAATAGCAGAATCATAAAGAATTTTGCACAGGCTCCTGCTAGTCCCTGGGTAGATGACTGCAGTGACAGTGATTTTAGCTGAAGTGTCATTTTCCACTGGGAAGACATATATGGTAACCCGATGGAAACACCCCACCCAGAAACTGGCTCCAGTGTTTAGAGAATGAAAAGCTAAGCGAATTTCTCCCTGTCTTTCTAGTGCAGTTTCTCAAAGGGGTTATTAGGGTAGAGCTACCATGGAGACCAGCATCTCTCAAGAACTAGATGCCAAGCCCCCACAAGAAACAAAGGTCCAAGGGTCACTCGAAGAGGCTGTAGCTTGCATCCCTGCTGGTATTCATGGACAATTAACAGAAGCTCATCCACCTCTCTTTGTTTTAGGAACTGTTTATTAAGAATTAGCTTGCAAATTCTCCACATGACTTGACACACTTTATCTCTCTGAGTATTCTTTCTCATCCTTTGAAGTAAGCAGTTTGAACTGACTCCTCGTCTACCAATAGATCAGTGCTATGACTATATGACAGAAACCATGATGGAGTTGTTTTCTCTTGTATGCTCAATGTTAGAACAATGATTGGCACATATATGTTGAATGAACAAAGATTTATTTATTGTTGTTAAGTTCCATGGAGTTGGTTCCGACTCATAGCAATCCTGTACAGGGTTTCTAAGAAGCGGCTGCTGGGTTTGAACCACCAGGCTTGTGGTTAGCAATCCAGTGCTTATTCTACAGTGCCACACCAGGATTTCAAACATTTATTTAGCCTCTCATATTCTTGAGGCACTGTAGTTTTTTTGGTTTTATTCTAGTCATGGAGTCCTTGGAAAGTACAAATGGTTAAGCACTTGACTGTTAAAGAAAAGGTTAGGGTTTGAGCCCACCTAGAAGTGCTTCAGGAGACAAAAAGTCACAGCCTGGAAAGTTATAGAGAACGGTTGTACTCTTTGCACGTGAAGTCTCCATGAGCCAGGCGACTTCCAAACTACCGAGAGGTTCAATTTAAATGATACAAAATCTCATTTGTAAACGAGATCATTGATAAGGACTAATAATATAATAATTATATCATTAAAAAGGAGCTCTGGTAGTGTAGTGGTTATGAATCGGGCTACAAGCCGCATGGTCAGCAGTTCGAAACTACCAGCTGCTACGCGGGAGAAAGATGAGGTTTTCTGCTCCCGCAAAGGTTTACAGCCTCGGAAACCATGTACGGGGTCGCTATGAGTTGAAACTGACTCCGCGGCACACAGCCACCACCATATTATTAAAATGGTTCCCAACATGTTCCAGATACAGTTGCTTGCAGCTCATGGATACCCCATGTGTGTCAGAGCAGAACAGTGATCTATAAGGTTTTCAATGGCTGAGTTTTTGAAAGTAGATCACTAGGCCTTTTTTTCCCCAAGAGGTGCCTCTGGGTGGCTTCAAACCTGCAACCATTTGGTTAGCAGCTAAGCATGCTATTTACACCATCCAGAGACTCCCTCAAAATGCTACTCAGTCTTTGATCCCATTTGATAGTCAAATCTTTGAGTGTACAACTCTGACTTGTAGTCCTTTTGCACCCAAAACAGCACTTAGCTGAGCGCTAATGCCCAAAACAGTGAGTCTCTTTTTTCAAACATTCTCAGAAAGATTGCCGTCATCTGCATGGAAGATTCCCAACT